TTTAGATATATATATATATATATATATATATATATATATATATATATATATATATATATATATATATATTTTATAAAAACAGTATATAAAAACAGTTTTTAAATATATATGTATTAAAATATGTATTTATATGTATAAAACAATATTTATATTGAAAAACAAAATATATATGTATAAAAAACAATATATATAGTTTCTAAAAAAATATATATAATTTTCAAAATAAAATAATTTTTAATAAATATGTTTGAACTTGAGATCTTTATTTTATTATAATTTATATGAAGTTTTATTTTAATTTTTATTATGTTTGAGTGAATTTTAATTATTATATTTATTATATTATAATAATATAATTCTATAAAATTATCATTAATGATTTCTAGTCTATTAATATCAATTTTTTTATAAAATTTTTGACAGGAATTTATCTTCTTGCAAATAATAACCGTTTATAATTTATCACCGGCTAAACGCCAATTAAAATTTCTGATCCACGCAAACACCATAGTCTGTGCCTATGCCTGTATGTTGCAGACGGTATAAAATCAATTACATTTTACGAGAGATCAAACCTCTGACAAAATATCCACGTATAAAACACGTCGCAAATAAATTTGCGATCCTCTGTTTTACTAGGGGACTAGTCCCCTCGCAAATTTCTTATTTGTTAGGAGTTAAGCCTTTGACAAATAATATATCTTTTTAGTTATTATTATTATTATTATTATTATTATTATTATTATTATTATTATTATTATTTATATGTATTGTCTTTAATTTTTTATTACAAAAAAACAATATTCTATTATATAAAAATCAAAATTAATTTTAATACTACATGTCTAAATAAAGTTTTACTTATCCCATAAAAATTATAATATAAATAACAAATAATATCTTATTTCCACTTGTATATTCTAATTAAAAAATTGGTTAGATTAAATGTTAGAATCAAAATTCCTTTAAAGGTAAACAAGTGAAAGCAATGTCATTATTTAAAAATATAATTAGTACAATAATTAGGTTATGAAAACTTAAAAGCTAATTAGGGATTGGGAATATACATGGGGATCGAAGCCTAAGATGCACTTTAAGCTTTTAACATATTAATAAATCCAAAATATTTTTCAAACTATGAGCTAATGATTAAGACATGTTCGGAAGGTCCTTCCTATAACTTTCTCATTTTCATTTTCTCCACCTCGGAAAAATCAAACTTATAGTGTTTATAATATACGCAAAGAAAAACCCACATTGCATCATGTATTCACACCACAGAATAATTAATAAATAATTCCCTCTAGAAAAAATTTGAACCATGTGAAATAAAATACTATCAACAAGAAAATGCCAAATATTATTACAAAAAAACAACTAGAAAACCTATATAAAAATTAAAAAGCTATAGACTAAAGTACTTCTAGTTTTATTGGTTTACCATTTGGATTTTGCGAAGAATGTTGATTTTCAAGTACCCCATTGACCTGTGAAGAATGAGAATTATTATGATGAGTGTTAGTAGTTTCCTTTGTTGTTTTTGTAATGTACCCAAAGTGCTGCAAGATCTCAATTCCCCAATCCCAAATATTCAACACAATGTAAGTACCAATCCCACCAATAAGCCCATACGCAATTGAATACGTCAAAGGCATAAGTATCATTGTCACAAACGCAGGTATAGCTTGTTTCATATCTTCCCAATCAATCTCCACCACTGATCTCATCATCAAAACCCCCACTAAAATCAACGGTGGCCCTACCGCCCAAGCCGGAATCGAAGCCAACAACGGCGTGAAAAACAACGCCATGAAAAAATAACCTGCCACCGTCAACGCCGTTATCCCCGTTCTCCCACCCTCACGAATCCCAGTGGAAGACTCAATAAACGCCGTCACCGGCGAAGTTCCTAACAAAGACCCAACCACAATGGAAGTAGCGTCAGACATGAATGCAAAATACTGACCCTCGAAATTTCCTTTCTCGTCAGTGAAACCTGCGAACCTCGCCATTGAGTACAACGTTCCTGTCGTGTCTAAAATGTCTACGTATAAAAATGTTATAACAGCTTCCCAAAAATACCCTTTTCCTATGTTACTGAAACTCAACGCACCTGCGGTTGTTTTTTATCGTGTGAATGTCTATAACCTTTTTGAAATACTCATGAGCTGAATCGCCAGCGTCAGTGTTGGGAAACGCCGTTACTTTGGTGTTTCGAAACCACGAAACGGCGGTTACAAAAACGATGCCGTATATCATAGCTCCTTTCACGTTTTTAACTAAACAGTAGGCGATTATTATAAAGCCCACTAGGCCCAACCAGAGAGTCGGGCTTTCCATTCTGTTGTTTAGACAGAATATATCGCTGGAAACGGTTCCGCCCGATAATAGACTAACGGAACCGTTAATTGCGGTTACCACGGGAGCGAGTGAAGCCCGTGATGAGCTTGGACAGCCGCCGAGTGTGACTAGAGTCGAGGAGCTGTACCCGACGAGCCCGATTCCTTGACTGTTTTGAAGCCCGATGAAGGCGAGGAAAAGCCCGATTCCGGCTGAGGAGCTTATTCGAACGGGCTTTGGTACGAGTTTTGCTAGCTTTGCGCGGATGCTAGCTTTGCGCGGAGACCGATTGCTGAAACGAATAAGAAGAACATTCCTTCTATGAATACGGCGGCGAGAGCGTTTTGATAGGAGATGTTACCGGAGCCGTGGAAGCCGACAACGGTGTAAGCGAAATACGCGTTGGCGCCCATGCCAGGAGCGAGACCTAGTGGTAGATTAGCGAAAGCGCCCATGATGAAACAACCAATGAGAGAAGAAGCGACGGTGGCGACGATGAGGTCTTTTCGTGTTTTATCGAGACAAGCAGCGTAGCCGGGGTTAACGGGATCAAATTTGCAAGAGATATCAGGTTGAATGACGTGAAGAGATGGGCCAGTACAGTTGGAAATTGAAACGGAAGCGTTGGAGCAGAGAGGAACACAATCTGAAACAGAGCAGGTTCCGCCAGAGTCCGTTAAAATGGAGGCGTTGACGGCGAGGATGTAAGCCATGGTGAGGAACGTGGCGGTTCCGGCGCGAAGCTCGGTGGTGAAAGTGGAGTTTCGCTGGGAGAGTTTGAACCATTTGCCTAGTCTGGTGTTGGCTACGTAAGAGTTGAGTTTAGAGATGGGCTTTGTGTGGGCTTGGTGGGCTGGAAGTGGGGGACTTGGAGTTTGACCCTCCATTAGGTTTGGAGGGAAGAGAAATGGAGATTTTGTTGGCTGCTGTGTTGTTTATATAGGAATTGGATAAATAAAATTTATACAGAGTATTATGAGATCAAGGTATGATGTTGGATGCGTTTGGTGTTTTCTGATACAGAGAGAGAGAGAGCATAGAACAGAGAGGGGGGAGTGCTGGTTATTGCAATTTGTTTATGCAAAGTATAGATTCTGAAGAATGGGATCTTTCTAATATAGATAACTGTGCCAGCAGAGAGGGTATCAAATTTATAGAATTTTTTTTCTTCTTCTTTTATTTATTGTCATAATTAATAATTAATGAAAATTAGCTTTTTGGAATAATATTTTAAACTCTTTTTTTTTTTAATTTCATTTTGACGTTATTATTGTTGTTATTTATTATTAGTAAGAAATTGGTATTGTTATGTGGTTCTCGTTTAAATTCTCGTTAGATGTATTTAATTTTGGTATTTAGTTTTGATTGATAAAATTTATTATTATAATATATATATATATATATATATATATATATATATATATATATATATATATATATATATATATATATATATATATATATATATATATATATCAATTAATATAATTCAACTAAAATTCAATTTATTTTAAACTAAATAGTATTTAGAATCAAAATTTACCTTATATGTTTTTTACTATTAATTTTTAAACATTTATTCGTATTTATAATAAATCATATAATTATTTTTATAATGATTTGTTTATAGCTGGTATATCATAAATACGTTCACATCTATCAATGATCCAAATTACTTAACAAAACTCAGTTGAATTCAGATAAATTAATTTTAAAACGACAGATTTAAATAAAATCATTTTTCCAATTCAAAAAACATTACTTTTTAGATATTAGTCAATTTTTTCAAATCTAAAATTTATGACAGCTTCCCGTCAAATATTAGTTTTAGATTTTTCTTATTATATCATGTTCATGCGTAAAAATAATAAACGAGAAGCTTTCTTATAGATATAGGGAGAGTTGTAAAGGGTAGATTTCTGTAAGTTATTTGGAGAATTTTGGTGCTACGATAATGACTCATATTGACCTAAGAGAAGCATCTTGCTTATCCCTCTGTCGGGAGCCTCTCTATAGATTTGCTATGTGTCTGTATTGCGTTTATCCTCTAATCTCTTTTCCATTCTCCATGGACCCTTTATATAGGATAATCCTTGGTCTAATGGCCATTAAGCCATATTGTAACGTTTGTAACCGACTATTTAATTGCTTGTAACATACTTAATAAGTGGTTGTAATTGCTTTTTAACCTTTGGCTATTCGGGTACCGCAATTGAAGGTTGTTAGACGGTGTGGCAAGTGATCGAGAGAGGGGGTGAATAGATCACCTCTTACTTTTTCAAGGATTTAAAATTGTTTTATCTAAGCGAGTTGAAAGCAGCGAAAATCAATGTCCTGAATCAATTCCGTCTACTTTGAACCGACTACTAGAAAACTTGACATGTGAAAACTTTACTGGATTTTTATTAAATGAAATGGATGAATGTACAACTCAGAAATCTTGACGTTTCAATGCACTTATCATAAAACAGTATTTCCAATGAATTTAGAAATTTGATAGGAATTTTGTCAAACACTTGGCGTATGCTTGTATAATGATTTAATAGTGGTGGTTTGGTGAAAATGTTTGAGCCACTATGTTTATCATTAGACTGTAAAACTTAGCACGCCAATTTAATTGTAAAATTATAGAATATGTAAAATTGTAAAGAGAAAGAAAGAGAGAACGATACACAGGCAGTTTGGTAAGGAAGTTCCCCACTTTCGTCCTCGCGTGTGGGTACGTCTCCCTCTCAATTTCACAATCTAAACTGAGAACTTTTATATCAATATGCTGAATGTTTGATAGCAAGGTTACACTACACAGAAAGAAAGAAATCCCTATGATCTTCTTCTTGTAAGAACCACCACTTGATAAGAGCTGTATCAAGATTTCCTGCAAAGTCACCGAATGATCCTCCGCTTCCACGACCTGTTTGTTCAAATCCTTCCGATTTCCAAACCTCTCGCTACGGCTGAATCCGACTCGTGCGACCGTGGCTGACAAAACCCTCAAGAACACACCCGTTCTTGAAGGACAAACCCTCTGGTTTATTTCTTGAAGCTTCCTCTTCACCCTTCAACTCAGCTAGACTTCTTCAATACACAGCTGAACGTTATCTCAAACCGCTTGATTCAATTCAACAAGGATGTTTGATTTTCTTTGTTGTTGTTGAATGTAAGATGGTTGAGAAGATGATGAAGATGAAGGAATAAAAAGCTTCTGGTTGCTCACAATTGTTTTGCACACAATCTTCTATGTTGTTGTCTTGCTTCTGAAGAAATGCTTGCTTATATTTATAACAGAAAACGGTTAGTCAAAAAGAAAGTGATATGAGTCGATGCATGTTGGTCATGTGTTGACTCATGTTAGTTATATGTAACAGGATGAGTCGATACATTATGTTTTGAGTCGATACAAAATCATGTTATAGTGTTTTACAGAACTAACACTTTTATACCCGTCGACACATAATGCGTATGTGTCGATACATACTGATTGTAAATTTAACTTTTGAATTTAAAACATAGTATGAGTCGACACATGATATTATGTATCGATACATATAAGTTTCAAAATGTTTTCCAAGATCATCAGAATGTTTTGTGTCAATACATAAGGTTTTGTGTCGATTCATACAAGTATTACAGGGGCATCAAAATATTATGTGTCGATGCATGAAATTTATGTATCGATGCATGCAGTTCTTAGATTTATATTACAGGGTCATCAAAGAGTTATGTATCGACTCATAAGCTTTTGTATCGATACATAATAGTTTTGAGATACAATTCCAGGGACTTCAGAAAGCTATGTATCGATACAAAACTTGATGTGTCAACTCATAATGATGCATTATGAGAGAAATGTAATTTTGACTTATTCAAACATGTTATATTATATTTTTATAGTGCACACATGTATTTAGTGTTTCATATATATATTTGCAATCATTCAAAATCAATCTATGAAGGGGTTGCTCACAAAGGTGGGACCTATACCCAGTTGTCAGGCAATCCGGACCATATCTCAACTTATCCGGGTTCTGGATGTACAACCGAGTTTAGCCTCTGCTTAGCCTGGCTCTACGCTATCTTTAAGATCCATTTATATTTCTACACCTAGATAACTCCAAGCCCCGAACTCACACCTTAGCCGATAAAATAATTCTGGGATATACATATCATATTTACAATTTTTACAAACCTATAATATATGACAGCTCCCCGTTAAATATCAGTTCAAAATAAATATATATATACTCCATAGAATCTTAAAATTGGTTATGTAGTTGAAATTAGTTAGAATATTGAGTTATTTGTGTTTAAAGTTAGCATGAATCTTTCTCATTTATAGATCTTTTAACATTAGCTAAATTATGAGTATTGTAGACTCTAACAACAATCTTGATTACAGAAATTCTTTTTGAAATTTCCAACTTCAAAATATTTAAGTATTCATTTCCATATTTTTCTTAGATGCTCAACAATTCCTAATTAACTCAACAGAGATATAGTAACCATGACTTAAGTTTAATCTGTCTTATTTTACTTTTCTTTTATTTATATATTGTTTTTTTTTTTTTGTTATAAACAACAAAATGTATGTCAAAGTTATTGTAAATTTCCTGCTAAAAAATATTCATTGAATCCATTATCATATTTTTAGAGAGATGAAGAAAATAATAGTGTGGTTACCACACTAAAGTGAGCGTGTGAGCTTCAATTGTCAATAATTTTTTATAATGGGAAGTAAGTACAAACAATAAAAACAAACCAAAGAAAATTTAGACAAACAAACAGATATACTTAAAAAGATATTACAAAACATTTTTCAGCTCTTATTCAATGTTGTTTTGAAGTTCAAACTAACTAACCTCACAAGATACAGTATCTATAGAGTTAAGTTCAATTCAACAACAATAACTAAATTAATCTATACTCCACTAAACTATATTGTTACATCTATCAAAATTATAGATAAAAACTATCCATAATCATCTCCAAAATCCATTAAACCTTTCCACCAGACACAATCAGTATACACTTAAATTGACAGTGAGTTTAACAATCATATACTACATAAACACCAAATGATATGTGAGGAAGTTTTTCAGAATTATATTTTAAGTCATCAGTTGCATGCAAAATTGTGGATTGATTAACAATGGCAGCCTCGTGAGTTTCTCAGATGACAGGAGAGACTTCAACATTTAGTGTTGATATCATTGACTTATCAACTGCTTTTGCATAAATAGCCATTGGATTCCAGCAACATAATCACCTGTTTGCAACAGCGAAAGAAATATTTGTTACTTGGCAAATTGTTAGGATACAACTTCATCGTACAATAGTAGTGTGGAACTATGTCTTAAAACGTTTTAATTACAATTAAGTTTTAATTTGCAAATATTTTGATGTATAATTCACCGATAGAAACTAGTACTAGTACTAACACTAACACTAATAATAATAATAATACTAATAATAATAATAATACTACTAATACTAATACTACTACTAATAATAATAATACTAATACTAATAATATTAAAAATAATAATAATAATAATAATAATAATAATAATAATAATAATAATAATAGTAATATACTAATAATAATAATAATAATAATAATAATAATAGTAATAATAGTAATAATAATAATAATAATAGTAATAATAGTAATAATAATAATAATAATAACAATAATAGTAATAATAATAATAATAGTAATAATAATAATAATAACAGTAATACAGTAATAATAGTAATAATAATAATAATAATAACAGTAATACAATAATAGTAATAATAATAATAATAATAACACTAATAGTAATAGTAATAATAATAATAATAATAATACAATAATAATAATAATAATAATAATAATAATAATAATAAT